AGCAGGAAAACAAACAAGACCTCTGCAGCTCAGTCTCTTTTGGTTTTTAGCTACCTTTGTGCGTTCCTTCTTGGCCTTCTCCAATTTGTCCATTTCAATCTTCTGGGCTTTAGCTGAGGAAGAAGAGAAGTTACAAGAAGCACTCGGAACAGCAAAAATCCATAGTTCCCTCTCACTCACACACTTCCCATCACAAACAATCAAAAATTTCAAATTGTGTACAGAAAATCAAACTGCCGTGAAACTAACTCCTGCTTTTTAATCACGGCATTACTGCACTAAATTAATGATTTAAGAGATGAAAACATTGAAGAACCAATTTAAATGAAAAGGCTTTCCAGACTGATGAAGCATCAATAACACTCAGGCACATCCAACCAGCATGCCGTCGTTCAAGAGCAGCATGTGATGACTTCTCATTTATAAAGGAAGTGGAGACCCTAGTGCAGTTAATTAACTGCAGAACACAAAGAGCCAAGCTAGGACAAAAGAAGACTTCCTGGAATTACCTAGGGCCTCATAATATGAATCTTCTGACCAGCCATGAGGATCAAACATGTCCTAAAGAAGAAAATTAGAAGAAAAAGTCAGATTAGGGCTATTTCCACATATTCACAAAACCCAGTTCAAAAATGTTTTATGTATTTCTTTCCCCTGGGGATATTCGTTACTAATTTCTTGTATCCCAGTGACACAAAGATCAGATCGGACCTTCTTTTATAGGACCACGTTCTGTTGTGAATGAAGAAACAGCTCTGAAGCCAAACGGATGCCGGGATAAGACATGCATTTTTCTGCTGCTCAGCTTCTATCCCCCCAAGGAGGTTCATGTCTATCCACACGCTTCAGCAGCTTTTGTTCAGAATCGTTATAGCAAAGTTGGAGGCACTGAGGGTCAGTACCACATAAAAACGTTCACTTCAATGCAGAGGATCAGACTAAAGTTCCCTTAAAAGGATCTCTAAACAAGCAGGCTCAAGAAAGCCCGAGGTAAGGCCTTACAGCCCTATATTATCTTTCACCCACTCCCTTGCCAGTCAGAAGTATTGCACCTCACCTTTGGATAATTTGTACCGAGTTCATCAATTGAACAAAACTGGATCAGCTTTTCATAGATGCTGCAAAGGAAAGACAAGAGTTCAGAACAGAGCCAGGGAGCTAAGAGTAAACAGAAGCGTTTCAGATTTGTTAGTAGAAAGAGGTTGCCACCTCTTCACGCTGCAAGAGTAAAATCAGAACCTGGGAAGCTAGGCTTGCTACGATGGATGGGGCATGCCGTTAACCTCCCCCAAATTAATCTCCCACCTCCCAGAACAGACACATCTTCTAAAATACCTCATCCAAAGCCTGTACATTTAAAATCCAACCAACACACCAACTCTAGTTGTTGCCTCAGAGAACACAAAGAGAGGTTTACTGTCTCAGTTACAATCAAATTATGTCTTTCTCATTTTTGTAAGCAGTAGTACTTCTTGCTCAGGATCCTGTTTCTGCTACAAATCCAACAAAGAGGAAAATTCTTGGAATTTGCTGTGTGGTGCTTTGGTCACACAGGAAAAGGCGGTGGCTCACCTGGGGTTGCGGAACTCCTTTTTCCTCTGAATGATGTAGTTCATATCCATGCCCTCTTTTATTTTCCTCTCATATAGTTTTTGAATTTTATCCTAAGGGAGAAAGATTACAGGGTGAGCCAGTACGAAAAGGAGGAGCACACCAGCTGATTATCAAAAGCGTACATAGGGAAACGAGCCAACTGAGCCAGTGACCTTCTTGCACGGAGCAAGGATTGCACCTCTCCCCTAAGGCCAGGCAGGCTGATTAGTACAGACAGTCCTCCCTTTAAGGTTTGAAAGTACCATCGTGAACTGTCTGCATGGGTAAGGGAACTGATCCTGGCACTTTCTGAAGGCTTCAGTGATTAAAGATTTGCATTTGAGGCAGCAGGGCACACTTCTTCCCAGTCTGCCGTTTCCCTTTATAGCTGTGACTGTAGGGAAGTAGAAGCCAGCTCGGAGAGGGAGAGGTGAACTCCACAAAGGTTCTCCCACGCTTGCAGGGACCAGCACACCCACCTTCAGACTCAGGCCTGCACCTGACCAACAGCTGCTGGGCTACGCTGTGCAGAAGGCAAGGCGCACGGCTGTGCCTGGGTAACAGATGAGCAGAGCCACGTTCTGCTGGAGAACTAAACCCAGTGCGATCATCAGGTATTGCTGGTGGCGCCTGCTGGCAGCCAAACGCTCTTAGGAGTAAGGTGCTTCTAAATCCCTGCTTGGGCACAACTGGCCAGGTCGATGGAATCAGCTTCTCTTTGCAGATGACGCGCATAGTTACGAAGCCTACGGATATCTTACTGAAGCCACAAGCCCCTGCAAAAGGCAACTTAACTGACTCAGGCTGGAAACGTCAAGCAGTCTACTCTCCAAAAAGACTGAAAGACTTAAAAATAAACATGATATTTTTTCTTCCTCAGCAAGGTAGCGGAAGACCTTAGAAGTATTTTTACTTTGATGATGCTGAAGGGATAGCAAAAGCAGAAACTTTCAGATGGAACATACACTTCAGTGCTACTACTAGGAGAATATTCTCAGCAATTTCCTTCATCTTTTCTTTTTGACACAAATTTCTCACGTACAAGAGGCATATAAAATAAGACCAGAGGCTAGGCCTTCAGTCTTTTGGGATGGAAGAGTTGAGTCAATTTTCCTTTGTTGCTTCTGGATAAGTCACTTCATGTCTCCCTCCATATGGACAGTCAGCTCCAATACAGAACTGACTATTGTCTAAGGGTTTGCTGACGCCTGAAGAAAAGAGGATTGTTAAGAGCTGATATGAAACTCCTCTTTCAACAACCTTAAAAAAAGCTTTATAAAAAAAATTTTCACCAGGTCCTCACAAAATTAGCAAGAAGAAATTACACAAGCTCCACATCCAGCACACACATCGTGAGGATTGAAGGAACAACTGCAAAAAGGTGAATTTGGGGAGCAGAAATGATGGAATAGGTGTTGCCTTTTGTCCCCTCCCCGTGGAGGCAGCAGTATGGTTCACAAAATCCACAGATGGGGAACTACTCAGTCAACTTTATAATAAGAAATACTTCCTTTGGCAGAGTTCGAGATACAGTTTATTAGAGGAAGAATTTGACAAAAGGAAAAAGCAAATCAGCCGTGAGAAGCCTAGAACATTTTGCATCTCTAAAGAACAATCCCATCTCCTCGCTCAAAGCGCTCTAAGATGTGGTTTGACCTGCTAACAGAGGACAAGTTCTCCTTTGATTTAACATAGTAAACTGCTGTCAAAGGGGAAGAAAATCTGCTTTATTCTGTCTGCTCTCTCAAGCTCTGTGCATTCCTCAGATCTAACACACTCTAATTCACTGATGTCAGAACAGTAAAATCCTCCTCCAGCACAAGAGGAGGAACGGGTGTGCCCAGGTACACTGTGCGGAGAAGAAGAAAGCGTGATCTGGACGGTGAATCATTCTGAATCACCATTGCGCATTAGTAGCTTACTTTATAGAGCATTCCAGAAGTGATTCTTTACTTGTATCTCTACCCGGCAGATAACTGCAGTTAAAACCCAAATGGGTGGTAGGAGACAGCAGCCCCTGCTCTTTCATGTGCCCTCCATCAGGAGGAGGAAAACAGAGCGGAAGGTTATTGCAAAGATGGTTACTGCAAGTATTTGGGTGTGCACCAGAGAAAACACCCATTTATTTTCTTTTGCTGCCTCCAAGTTACTAGCCTTCCCTCTCAATGTTTATCATCTAGACGTGTAGGTGGAAAAGGAATCCAGTCAATGCTGCCTCAACTATTCCAGTTAGGGGATTCTCAGGCCCGTATAGAAAAACAATGATTTGTTCTTTCCTACGGAGCTGAATTTGCTGAGGTAAGAGGATAGCAGCCTTCACAGTAAACATTGCTTCTGTGTCACTGGTGGGATCAAGAGCCATTTTAAAGCATAAGTGACCCACAGAGACTGGAAAACAGCTTTAAGCTACTTTGAGATTCCTAGACTAGAATCGCTGTGAAGTCTAAAGCATTAACACAGTGCATTCATAAACTCAGTGTGGTAAAAACCCAGCTTTAATGCTGGATTTTTGACCTGTGCAAAAATATTGAACCGAGTTCCCAAATATCCCCCCTCCCTACTGAATTGCAAGCTTTTTAAAAAAATAAAGTGGACTTATACCAACCTGCAAGTGGTTAGAACATCTGCCAGGAGGCTCAGGAGGGATTTTGATCTCATCTGGAGACATGTTCCGCACTCTTTCTGAAAAAGAAGCTGTAGAGAGCAAACCAAACATGAGTTCTGGCAATACTGGAGGGAATTTAAGCCCTGCAAGTCATTAAACTTGTTTTATGTCCTTGCTAGTACTAGTCTACCATTGAGAACCCATGGGTAAAGGTAACACGGGAACACCGTCAGCTGGTACTCGTGGTGTTCTCAAAGTGCTGAGCAAGAAGCAACTAACTTAAAGGTTAGATCCTCAGAAGAGTGATGCGGTGCTTGCTTTCTTGATATCTACCTTGTACTGTGGCTCTGTGTCACACCCATGCTTACAGCTTTATTTTCAGGGATCTCTTCACCCCAGAATGGAAATATGAAAAGCTAAGCTACTTCCCACTCCAGCTGCAATCGTTGGTGAGATCCTCAAAGGCAAAGGATCTTCAGAGGAACAAAGGCTGGCTTGTGAAACGTATCCCTAAACCCCCCCACTGTGCGCCACACAGCGAGCCCTCCACTACTGCAGGTCTTCCATATGCACTTTAAAGTCCTGCTCTGAACAGCTCAGATAACCCGGAGTCTCCGACAAAACTTGCGCCAGGATGCTCTCAGAGAGCGAATCAGACGCTGGATGTGGAGGATCATGGGATCAATCTAAAGCAGCCTGGCTCATTGCCATTTTGGGGAGGTAATCACTTTGGGTCCTATCTATTTCAAGACCTACCTACATGAACCAAAATGGTTCAAGAAGGGAACGACCCTCCCCAAGGCTGTCAGGAGTTAACCACAAGAAATTACATTTCATCCTTAAGTTAACGTTTCCTTAACAGGCACTTTGATCTTTGCTTACAGAGGCAGACTATTGCTAGAAAGAACAACTCGTTCTGCAGGACTGAGAACAGACCGGTACAGATTGCCAGATTTCTATAGCTGTTTGTGTTGGGATATATTAGTAGAGTGCTGATTGCCCTGTAAAGATCAGTTTACAGAGCTATCAGCGAAAGAAACTGCCATGTTTCCCCCTATTGCTTGCTGCCTTCCCACTATTACGGGAAACCCAGGCAGCTTTCTAGACAAGTCTTGGAGCAGAGATTTGTGCCACACATTTAAGCAGCTGGGATTGTTTTCAACCATAATTTGGGCAGGGAACACATCCCAGAGTTGTAGTCTGTAGTGGATAAAAGAGACCTGACACCAGCACAGAAGTCGTATCAACCAAGCCATTCCCATTTGCAGCTCCTCAATTACACATTAAACCTGCCCGCGCTGCAGTTCTAGCACGCTCGAGCTCAGCTCCTTTGACTACAGCCCAGAAGGGCCCCAAGGACAGACCCCGGCATCTGAACACAGCGTGCTCTCCTGCCTTCCAGCACAGAGCATCGGATGGCTGAGGTCACAAATAATCGACACCGCACACGTTCAGTACTACTACAGTTCCTATTTCTTTTGTAAAAATGTAAAGCACTAAGGACAATATCCTTTGGAGATGCAAAGCTAGCAGGCGACCACTCATTCTATATTTGATCAAGATGTTGCGGAGGGTTAAATTCTTCAGCCGTTGCTAATAATGAACAAAAAGTGTCCTTTGGCATTTACTAAGAGGGTGTCTCTATGGAGGGAGGAAAGCTTGCCAGGGCCCCTACAGAAAGGCAGGCAAAGTGGAGCTCCCTGACAACAAGGCAGACATTTGTTATAGGTTACAGCGGCTGGTGGGATGAGGAAACCTCTAGTTTAATTAGAGCTTCAGGAACCCAGAGAGGGTAGCAAACGGACAGGAGCGGGCATAATAGACGGCACACTAGGCTTTCCAGAAAAGGTGAAAGCTGATTAATGGCTTAAGAGATTCACAGCATCAGCAGAAACATTAAAAAAAAGAAACAAGGCCACCAAACCCAGACTTCATAAGGAAAAGAAAGGACCTTAAAAAAAAAAAAAAAAAATCAAGCCTAGTTCCAGACTAGACATCCCACAGGCTCCTTATCCTTGCAGACGACCAGAAGAGCCACAGAGAAACAACACATTTATGGGAAGGAGAACTGTGGGCTCATAAAAACTTCGGAACTCTGGGCAAGAACTCTGTCTAGCCAGCAAAGAAGTCCCAAAGTCCTAAGAGTACGTTCAGCAATCAATTCAAAACTCCCTTGAAACAGAAATAACCTTGGAGGCAGAGCAAGAGCTCCCAATGAGATGATATATTTTGACGCATGACTTTTCAGGTTTTGGTGCTCATTTGCTCTTTTGTTGGAGCTGTGTGAAAACACTCATTTATCAACATCATACTGATGGGGGAAGGCATCTCTCAATGCCTTACAAGGAACTGGAACTAAGACATCTTTGTCTACTGCAATCCCACCATAGCTGTACGCAGCTGAAGACTGAGTCAGCAGCCAGGCTACGTGCACCTTGCAAACTAAGCACAAGCATTCATCGTTACTCAGTTATTTCATCACACACAGACTGAGATGCCACATCATTAGGAAGAAAAGGATGAGTTTAGCCCCTTCAGGCTTATTTGCAGTAAGGAAGTGCAAGTTATCCATGCCCTCGAGCAGTCCCCAAGCTTCCTGCCCAAACAGATAGCGGAATGGTCAATTCCACAGCCTCTTCCCACCAGCTC